ATTGAATTCAAGGCTTGATATCCAATCTATTTATGAAGATGCAGTGTCAGTTGCTTAGTAAATTCAGAAAAAAAAAATTTACAATTAGCTGGGATATGGAATTTTGGTGAAGGCATTCATTTCATGATTTAAAAACTGGAGTTAGTTGACAATTCATAATGTAGTACGAAAGCAGTGTTTAGATTGGACCAAATTGATGTGAGCTTTTTAAATGGCCTGAAGTGCAAGAAGTTTGTAAAAACAAAAAGAAGATATGAAGAAAAAACTTAAGCCATAAGAAAATATGAATTAAGAAAAATTACTAAACATTTCAATAATACAAAATCATCTACATATTATAAATTTTAACTTTTAACTTTGCATTTGCAAAATGCACCTTCCAAAGCTTTGACCATCGAAGTTTACAAATAATATCTAAGTCAAGAGCTAATTTACTGTCTATAAATGTATGTGTTCTTATACAAAAATTCATTAATACCTTGCAATAAGTACAATCATAGTTTTAACTTAAAGGTTAAATGCGTGGGAGGTTTGTCCAGACTAGTGTATTGTTTTAAGTTTGTAATGACAAGAAGGACACTGAGGTTAATGTAGAGATGCACATTAAAGTTGACATTTACATGAAATAAATTGTGTTCAAAGTTGATGAATTAACAAAACTTCTAGTAAAGGGAATCAAATTATATAGTTTGGTATTTTGATAGGAGACTAATCATTATAATTTCTCAAAGTATCACTTCCCTGAAAAATGACTTTGTTCATACAACTGAAACTGGACTTCAGATTCTTAGAAGATTAAATTCCTGATAATTATCTTGTCAATAACAGAAGTTATTGCCTAACGGTCTGCTAGTCCTATCAAATTCCAGTAATTGCTGTGTTTATAATCCTGTCAGTTTCCTGTTGTCTATAACAAGGCTTAAACAGACATAAATAAAGAATAGAACATTGATCTGGGTATAGAAATCCTGAGTTATTACAAATACATGGACAGGAAAAAATATATCTATATCGAGCTTTAAAATTGATCCTGTACTTCATCAGCCAGTTAATTTCGGAACAAATTACGACAGACAATATTAATTGGCAAGCTCTGTAGAATAATCATGATGTAACAAGTGCAGCAGACAGATAATATAATCAGGACGGATGGACTGCCAGGTGATAATGAAAGTATTGACTTGAATACTGTCAATGACTTTCAATGACACTATCTGATTGGAATACAGTCATTATACTGTTACATATAGATATTTGATAATGTCAAAAATCTTGAATAAAATAGTCATAGTACTATAACATATACACAGGCATTTTATAATGACACATTTTGACTGAAAGACAGTTATTATTCTGTAACAGTAAGACAGGCAATTATGACTCAAACTGACTGAAATATTGTCATAGTACTGTATTACATAGATACAGGCAATAATGACCAAATCTGACTGAAATACAGTCATTATACTTAACTCATAGGCAGAGAATAATGAAACAGTCTGACTGAAATATTGTCATAGTATTGTATCACATAGACTGAAGGTGGGCAGTAATAGCCAAATCTGACTGAATATAGCAATCCAATAGCTACTAGTCACCATACTGTCATCTGTATAAAAAGGAGATATATTGTACAAGACAATATTGCAAGGTCTAAATTGCCTGGAGTCTAGGAAACCTACTACTTGACTAAGTGTATTGGTTTACCTTGGATTGTAGAGTTTTCCTTTTCTGTATCTGTATCAAAAACTAACAAACAAAAAAAATCATTTTTATCAGTTTTTGATTTGCCTTTGTGAATATTCACTAGTTAAAAAAAACATGCATATTGATAGTATTAAAAATGAACTTCCATGCACGTACATGATGTAATTTGCAGTATTTTATGTCCTAAAAATTGAATGTTTATTTTCCCACCATTTATCATAAAGGGATACAGTTTATTTTAGAATGTGAAAGAATTTCATCAAAATAAGCATCTTTGTAATAAATTGAATATGATCTCAACAGATGATATCTACCTTTTTACTCATTCATCACATTTATTTCTATACTTTTACATAATGGAAGATGCATTAAAATTAAGTTGTCTTTTTAATGGGGTATTTTCAGACACTAAAGCTAAATTATATGCCATATTGAATATATTAGTATAAAAAGGTTCAAGTTACATGTGGTATTCTTAAGTGAAAGACTTTGTTTCGTAGCTTGTTATTTTAGGTATAATATAGCTTACGGTAAAATGGAAAAGATATAGAAGAACTAATCGTAGAATTCAAATATAGAAAAATATTCAATGAGTGACCGAATAACGCATTAATTAACGAATGCGTGTATCGCATGAGTTAATTATCAGTGCTGTTTGGTCACAAGTTGAATATTTTTCGACATTTGAATTCTTTGATTAGTTATTCTTTTTATTTCATTGACAATAGGCTTTTAAATGGAAATAAAGTAGAAACTATATTTTTTCTACGCAGTCACAATTTGCTTTGATGCAACATTATGATGTCAGATGAGTGAAATTATCGAGTTTATTTCACATGTGAAATTATTGGTTTTTATTTCACTGAGAAATCATGGTAATTCATTGCAACCAATGTCATAAATAAACTTATACTTTGTGTGCTGTCTCATTGAAGTTTTTCCGACCTGTGATCTCTTTGATATGATATATTTGTATTTTTTTGAATTGAAAATACATTTTTTGCCACTCTTTACCATTCACATTTAACATTTAGTTGTATAAAGTTTGAAAAAAACGGTGGATTAAACTTAGGCAAAAAGTGCAAAAATATATATTCCCTTTACAAGCAAAATCAAAATAGTTTTAAGAGAGTTTGGTTAACTTTCAAGTTAAATTTAAGATTGATATTTTAGTAATAGTGATTGTTCTGAGGTGTATCCTGGCAACTTTTCATTGATGACCAAACAAGACAAAAATTCAACATCATTATCAAAATTCTTGATATTGAAGTGGGCGTCTGACCCAAACATGACACATATGGGATGGGTTTACAATTCACCCTAATGGGTTTAAAATAACCGAGAACTTATCATCACCCCTAAAAAGACGTGTGTTGAAGCAGATATGTCCACAGATAGGACCCATACTTTTATCTGTTGATGGTCACTTGACAATTCTTTGATCCCTTGTTTATTTACCTACAATGTCCGTTAATAAGCAATTGTTAACTTTACCAATAGAGATAAAACAAGGTCAATTTTCATAAATATGTCAAACAATAAGCGTGAGTTTAGATAGATTTTAGTAAGTTTATAACAATTTTTGTCAACAACACTTGAAAGTGCTGGGTAATTGTGAATTGTTTTTCTTTAATTGTGTTTGCTATAGGAAGATTGATATAAATCCCAAACATACACCAGGACAATTGTTTATTGTGGGGTAGGACCAAGGTATTATCTTTATCCTGGTGTTATGCTGGTCTGATTGATAAGGCAAACTTGTGTTGTTGTCCACTTATTTTCTGCAACCAAGGCTTAAAACGTCTTTCCTCTGAACTTAGCTGGTTATTGATTTACAATAATGTACTGTCAAATGCATCAGCCTTTCATTTTAACATCCCTTCATTTTGTCAACAGAGGGTGGGGTTCAGGTGATATGTTAAGCGTAAGTCTTTCATTCTGATCTTCCTAAAGGATCAAATTTACACAAAGGCATGTTTTTGTTATTTTATCTTAATTACAAAAATTATCGAAATTAATCCCTTCCAAAAATGATTCACTTTACAGAACCGATGTATCTCCTTCATCATACAAATTACAAGATTTCTGCCCAGATTTTGTTTGACTTGCCTGCATTTGCTCAGATAGATGATTTAATGCTTTAAAAACAATGTGTGTAAGGTATTTTTACTCTTATTTGTCAGTTAGTAAATAAATTACAAAATGCAAGTTAAAAATAAATTTTAACCCTGCCTGATGGTCATTGGTGTTAGTTCATAACCTCAACAGTTATAAAAAGACCTCTCCAGTTAGGTTGACTGTCATCACCATTTTATACCTAGGATGTTAAAATGTCAGGATGTCTACATTTATTTAATCTCTCTCATTATTTATTTGTCAAGTCAATGTTGAATTTTAAATCTTGAATAATAAGAATATCGTCTTCACTCGGTCAGCCTTTTGTTATCAAATATATGATATATGGTTTGGTTATGTGAATCATAGAAACTGTATTCAGATCATAAAAGATATTTTCTTTACTTGGACCAAGTGATTGTTTGTATAATCCATTAGATTTATCCCAGCAGTATAAAATAAATATTGAATTTTACTTTCAAGAGTTTAACTTGTTTTTCTTGTAACAAATAGTACACAGGTATTAATAAAACCTGAAGGCATTGTGCTTATATATTGTATGAAAACAATAAAAAACTGGGCAGGCATTGAAGATAAAGAAGTTAAGATACGATGGCCAAAGTTTTCTGGACTCAACTGTTGTATTGTTTCTTACATAAATAAGTTTTTACCCTTCTGTTTAAACATTGACCACATGGTGAGGCATGCATTGTATCTTGACCACATGGCAAGGCATGTATTGTTATGACTGGGACTTTATTTTTATACTACAGAACAAGATTAGTCAAATATAGTTTTATTACATACCTCCATTCAGTTATACTTCAAACTCTGTAATGATAGGATCAGACATAGACTTCACTCTTATTGAATAGAGGATTAGACAGACCTTAAGTTGCAAGCTCACTGACCATTTCATAACAAAAATCGAATTATTCTAATAGAAAAAAAAAAAATCAGGACAAAGAAAATCAAATGTTGCCAGCAGTTAACATTTATTTTTGTTTGAATTCAGTCTTGATATAGTATTATTTTGTGTATGCCAGCATCCATCAGCAATCAGCCCATAACTGCCACTTCAGAATTTTAGCTTAGTCCTGTTACTGGAGTTTACAGTACTGCTTATGTTTTATTTGTATCATACTTTATATTTATAGTAGTATTATTTCTATTTCCAGTTGTGTGTAAGACATCTAACAAGTCAACAAGATGCAGGTTATCATTATAAAGCTGTGTGTAGAGCCCTGGCAGCTGAGGCGGCTGAACTTCTACTGTTTCTAGATAAAGTTACCAGGGAAAATAAAGTAAGTTCTGAATGCAAAGGTTTCCGTCAGTATTTGTTTCTACCTGACAAAAACATCTCCCTTATTGTTTCAAACAATAATTAAAGGAGCTCACCAGTGTATAGACCACATTTCATTGACTTGACCATGAGTAAAATTTTAATAATTGTCCCATCAACTATAAAGGTTATTCCAGAAAACAGTATTTAACCTGAAATATATGATTTCCACGAATGCGCCTTTTCGGAATTATTTAGGATCTTTGGTGCTTAACATCAAATGCATATTTTACTACTCATGTGGAGTCATTGGTGTGTATGCAAACAAATCCCATACCTGCTAACAGTGAAAACTTGTGGAGATAATGACAAATTTCTTTGTACTACACTCCCATCTAAAGCTGAAATTCTGGATCCCCCTTCTGGAGTTTTTTAACTTGAGAGATATCAGAAGGTAAACTGGAATTTCCGTTTGTCAACTAGTTATGAAAAAGATAAAGTTTATGTTACATAAAAATTTTGAAAATTGTACTCATAATCGTAATTTTCTGTCAATTTGTAATCAAATTGACAGGCAGATGGATTTCAAACTTTGCTTTATTGATCCTAATACAAATTCATAAAACACTTGTCCAAATATAAACATCTTAAAAGTTTAAGGACTTTCCTTAACCTTAAATTATTACACAATCTGCATTTCATCCACGACCCCTTATCTGACACATAACCACTATCTATAATTGATTTTGCATTTTTTATGGACAAATTATTACGTGATTGACAGGCAAAGATATAAATTATCTACATCCTTTAAAAAAATTTGTGCTATTTCATACCTTTCCTGTTTGGGTAATTGATTATCCTTCAGGGTGGTTTTATTTTACAATATAATCAATTAGGTATTTTATCCTCAATGTAAATACAGGTTTTATTGCTCACTGAATATTTAGGTAGAGGTCGTTAAATTTTATTCTGTATTACAGTTAACGAATAATCAATGAAAAATGCCAAGGTTTTTTTTAAATTTATTCATTATTGCCGCAAAACTGTATGTTTTAAAAACAGTACTATGTTGCAGAACGAACTTATACCGAAACGAAACTGACCAGCCTTACGTTTTATCTTCCAAAAATCAACAATTTTATATTTTATTGTCGGAAAGCATTTTATATGGAAATTATAGCATAATTTGTCATCAGAAGATTTACTACATAGATATGAATATATGAAGTTCTCTATATAGCGATTTGATGAATTTTAGATGAGTACATAAAAGTATGCTATTAGTAAAGGAGGTAACAAGAGGGGAAAAAATGTTGACCTTAAAAGAGAAAATGATATGTAATATATGTAATAGTACTGTATATTATGGTGGATTGACAAATGTATAAGAACTTTATATTTAATTCTTGACTGTACTTTTCAATCATTTATGGTAGCTCTTGTGATTTCTTATCTATAAAAGGGTCAAAGTCTGAAAATTTGCTGTCTGGAATTTTTTTTTAAGTTAGTTTCCAATTCTATGATAGGTTTTAAAAGATTTTGCAGTACAGTTTACATAAGCTTAATTGGATAGAAATGGCAATTTCACATTGTATATCTTATCAAATTACTGTCTCTAAAGTACATAACAAAGTCATTCACTGTCTGTCAGAATGAAGTTCAAATTCATTAGTTGGGCAGGTATTATTATATATCTTATAGAATAAATCTATTAATTTATTTAGAATACCAATAGTAAAATCCATAGCCAAATTCAGACAGACAAATTGCTGTTTTAAAATAGCTGACCAAACAAAGGTTTTATATCTGACAAATATAGCTGTAAAGTAGCCAAATTATGGTAATGATGATGGTGATATACATAAAAAATGTATGGTTCCTTGCCCGTAAAATTTGCCAAGCTTAAAACTTATCTATTCTATCAGCATGATCAGATTGAATATGTAGACTTTGTATGAAATTATAAAAATAGTCAGCATCAGTGTATTTATCCATTTATATTTTCATCAGTACTTTAAATATTGATTTTTTTTCAGAGGTTTATAGAGACACAGCTTGATCAGGATCTCCAGAAGCTTGACAATTTACAGAGAGCAGATTGGGTAAGTTATCCAAGAAAGATAACTCTGATTCATAAAAGATGCCACCAGTTTAATTGGCATTTACTCAAGGGATTGAGCATATTCTACTGTAAGGACCAACTTGATAAACTCCTATTTCTTCATTACATGAAACTAAATTTGTTTATTGGTATGTGAACATCTTCAACCTCAAGTCTGAACCTAAAACATATTTTCACAATAATGTTTCATCCTGAATATGAATCAAATATTTGCCACTGGACATTAAGCAAATGATCAATCATCAAAGCATTGACATTCTAAGCCAACTTGACATAGCAACTGTAAGGAATGATTCTCTTGAAGCCTTGTACATTTGATGGAAAATTTCACATTTTTTGTTTAGCTCAATGGGGTCTTGCTAAAAGTTGTCCAGATGAAAAAATAGCAAGAATTTTGTCTAACAGACTTGACAAATTTAGTATTTTATTATATTTACAGGGTACAGTTTGATTCAGGAATATATCATACCAAAGTTGTTGAATTTATTTGATCTCCCTATATTTCAGGCCAGATTATGGGTACAGATGATGAGGGAGTTAAGACAGGGTGTCAGGTTAAAGAAAGTAGAACATATCCACCTGCCACCAGTTGAGTTTGAACTGACTCCATTTGAGATACTATTGGAGGACATCAGAACAAGGAGATATACACTCAATAAAGTTCAGGTAACAATTTTATTTCAATTTTATGATGTAATTTTTTTTCTTATTTGAAGATATTCTTTGACCGGTCAGATTTTTTTTTCATACTGAAGTTTGATTTTAAAGCCAGCTAATGGTGAATGATGAGTTTTTAGAAATTCCTGTTATGTGCCCATTTAAACGTTGACTTGTAGTGTGTTTTGAGACATTTTAAGACATTGGAAATTTGTTTATGATGAAGAATTTTTAAAGTTTTTTTTGTCCATATATATGTCAGATCTGACCCTTATAATATGTACTGTTCCATTGTAAAAAGAGGACAGTTTTTCACTGAAATAACAATTTTAATGTTGTCATTAAAGATAATCTTATAAAAATTTGTTTAAATTGTTTGTGATTATCATATGCGAAGGGATTACAAATCCTGTCCTACAAATTTGATCTTTAAAAATTGATGTAACACTTGAAAGGAAACATGTTGGTTATAATGCATATGTATATCAAAACATGACAAATAGGGGAACATCTTTATATGAGAGTTTACTGTTAATATAAAATTTTTGCATTTATCTAAAAAAAAAAATCAGTTGAAAAATCTGACTTATTTTTGTGCATGTAAGAAAAATCTCCTAATTATTATAGGAAGTTTTGTTTTCATAGGTAAAGTATTATTATGTGTTTATAAATAGTCACTCTATACAGTTCTAGTCAAACAAAAAGTTACAAATATAACGGATAGTTTATAATGAAAGTAAATGCATGAACTGCCTTGAAATGAGTCCAGCACCATTTTAATTTCCAAGAAGAGAAAAAGCTTGAGTGTTGTGTTTGTATACTTACATATTGTTTGGAAGTAAAATACTGTTAATTTTTGTACATTTAAGTATCGCTTTTTTTGCTTACACATCAGTCTGTCTGAAAACCTAAGTTTGCTTAGTTGCATGGTCTGCAGGTATACCTTCCTTCGTATGGATTGTTTTGTATGCTACTAATACTGTTACCTGTGCATGTTGTATTTCAATAGGTAAATGGTGACATACCAAATACAGTCAAGAGTGATGCCCATGCTGTCATGTTAGATTTCATCAGATCACGGCCACCATTACAACCAGTGAGTATATTCATGCTTGGTAGGATTATATAGTTTGGTAACCGTTAATTGGGCTAATGCTTCCATTTATTTATAGTTTATCAGTGGTTCTTCAAATGAGGTGGAGTTTCTCAGCTATAATCTCATTAAAGGGAAATAGGCCTGAGATGAAATGTATCCTAAAATTCATCCGCAAGTTTGAAAGATTATTAATATTTTGTTTATCCCTATTTTCTTAACCATAGTCAGTGATGTAGTCCTTCAACTTTGTGAATTCTCTTTCTACTCAACATAGAAAAACTCATATCACTTGATTAGCCTGAGATGAAAATTGATCATTGAGAAATTTCAAAGGAAAATTTGAGAAAATGTTGGTAACGGGTGATTATTCAGGATAGATTATTTGGATAAGACTCAATAAAACTTTGCACATCAGAAAAAAAATTCCGAATCTAAAGGAAAAACTTGTTCACCTTTATAAGTTATCCTCCTCTGACATAATCTTCAATTTATTTGGTCACTATAAGCTAGAAATAGAAGTAGAAGATCTATTGAAAAAGAAAGGGTATGAAGTGGGTGTTAAAGAAATAAACCAAGAAATAGCCAATATATCATAGAAAAAGTGTCTTTACTGCTGTTATTCATCTTCACTGTTGCTGAATTGTATATTTTAAATCGCACACCTTACAGCACTTACAGCAAGGTCAAAATGTTGATATCATAAAATAGGATAGTTTATAGTCATGTCTACAGACCAAAATTACAAAAAAGAATGTATTCTGTTTATATTATAAGTTTATGAGCAAGTACTTATTCTGAAGTGTTATTTTTCTCAACTCATACATAATTCTTTGTATCATTTAAACCCAAGGTTAAATATGAATGATTTTGTAATTAAAGTTATCAATCTTGTTAAGAGTTTTAATTTTGTGGGTCATCATACCAAATTTAACATTCATGGAGAGAATTATACTAACAAATATCCCTAATACTAATATTGTAATAACTTCTAAATCTACTTGATCTACTGAATATACCAGATAAAAGTTCTATAATTTATCTATAATTTTCCAATAAAGAGAATTGAACACTCATCCTGCTAATTATGCAGCCTCTGAAAATCATCTGTGCATTTTTTTAGCATGTGCTTGTGTTGTATGTAGATAATTGTCTATATCCATCAATTAACTTTGCCATAAATCTTAGTAATCACCAAGCTTGTGTATTTACTGACTGTTTGGAGCTGTATGTTCATAACAATGGATGTAATAGACACATGTAAAAATTCTGAAAACTGTGAATTTAATCAAATTCAAAATGAATTTGCTATGGAAATAATTGAAAAATTACAAAATTGGAAAATGTCTGAAAATTTGGAAATAGAGGATTTGGAAAACAATGATATTGAGGTCAGTAGTTTTAATTCTGTGACATTATTCACCTAGTTTCATAGATTAACCGATTTTTTTATTGAGGAAAGTAAATGTCAGATTGAAATTATAAATTTAATTAAAAATTTAGAGACTTTAATTTCACGTTTTTGACATGTGCTATCACCTTACAATTAAATTCCTGACATATTGGCAAATAGACCTTAAATTGTGTGACATATTCTAAATTAAACAGTATAATTTACATAAGACAGAAATTGATAGTAAGGGTCTATGATACCTTGATATTCAGGGTTGTAACTAGTACGGAAATCTTGCATGTACATTCTGATCTGTATTTAGTCCTAATTGTTTTCAAATGTCAGGAACATTTGTAGGGACGTTGATTATGGAAGTTAGTTTGTAGCAGTATTAATATATGTGAATTTTCAATTTAAGTGGAAAAAGTCTTCCATTAATGAGAAGGTCCTCCTTATTGTCTTTCTTTGTTAGACTGGATTAATATCACTTGAAAATATAAATTGATATAAGAGCTGTCTTGACCAGATTTGCAACTTTTGATTCCATTTTACAAGCCTTTTGTATATAACATTATGATTAAACATATTGAAAGCATGCGCACATTTTGTTATTGTTCTGACCCTTTCCTACTTTTGATATGTTAGCCCCCCCCCCCCCCCTCTAAAAGTTGGGCTTTATTGCAAGCTCCTTGTCCGTATGTCCGCTTGTCCTTGTCCAATAAATAATTTTGTAACACTTTTCTTAGAAATAACTAAGAAAATGACTACCGGTACATATTTGGTTGGAACCCCCAAAAAAGCTTGTATACTTTTTGGAAGCATGCAATAAGGTACATGTATAAGTAAAATTTAGTTTACATGAACCCGTCATACAGAAATAGATTTTGGCAATTTACCCATGTAGTAGCCTTAAAATTAAATAAAGATGATTAGAAGCAGTCAAAAGTTGGTTTACACAGAAAACATTAGATGAAAGTAGAATTGTCTATGTAATGAATAGGGGCATTTACTGTTTATCTGATAGCATCTGTTCTCCTGTCTGAAACCTTTCAATCTTAAAGTGTTCTGATTAGCTGGTGATTTTAGTAGGAACTGAAAGTAGAAAGCATATTCTGTTTGATAATACATGTACTTGTTTGATGCAGAAGATAACTGGAAATTGAAATTAGAATCTAGTTTTTGTAAAACTACAAATAGATTTCTATAAAAGACTTCAATGTCTTGTATAAGATATTAACTGCATGTTTTGAAATATTTCATTCCTTTGAAATGGTCTGATGCAGAAACAGTGTTTTATTATGAAAACATCACTGTTTTATACCTTCTGATTGGACTAGACATCATTTATGTAGATGGTGACTGGGCAATGTAATTCACAAGGACAAAATCTGAATAAATACAATGACTTTTCCTGAATTTCTGAATTAATCCAAGGACTTTTCCTGAATTTCTGAATACATCCAATGACTTTTCCTGGCATCTGAATCTCAATAACTTATTGTATGCTGTGTAGGAGGCTACATTCTTTTCTGTGTGCTGATTCAGAAAGAGTTACTTATAAAATTATTCTAGTAATTAGACAGATTTTCAAAGTCTTATGTCATTCTGTAATTGAACAATACACCATAAATCTTATTGAGAGATAAATTTATACAGTATATAGTTCTCAAAAAGGAAATTACTACATTTGTTATTTTGGTTGTCAACATTGCATGTGTGTGTTTATTAATTAAAGAAAGCTTTTGGTTCTGTTACATGAAAACTAAGTTTTTTGGTTATTTTAGGCAAAAGATAGAGTACTGAAATCACCGCCAAAGAGAGAGCTTTCAGTTAGGGAACAATTGTTACTACATATAAGATCTCAACCACCTAAATTGAAATCCATTAGTGAGGGCCAGCATGTTGGTAAGTCTAGAATTATCTGTCATGAACAGTGTTAGATTCAGAGAGGCCTTTAAGAATTAAGGTCAATGACCTTGGTCAATATGAAGCATGGCTGCCAATAGGAATTCCTTTAATGAATTATCCTCAGCTGTTACCAGAAATAGCACTTATTTTCAACTAGAAATAGAAAAGATAGGTCAAAGACTCAAATGGCAATGTTGTGATACTTATGGTTTATATAATATCACATGATGAATGGTAATATTTTGATATTATTATGGATTGAAGGATTGTAATATTTTAAGTAATAAGAAAACAAGTGATGCAATTCCTTTTTAGGCACGCAAATGTGGTCTGTCACTACCATTAATATTGCTGTGAACATAAGAAGATGGATGTACATTAATAAGACAGCAAACCAACAACACTTATATTTAAGGAATTTACTCAAAAGATTTAAATGTGTTATTATCTAAATAATGTTACAAGATTTAGATAAGTTGTCTATGTATAGTATTTTTATGTTTTAGCATTTGCGTTTAGATTTAGGTTTTGTCTTACACAACTGTTTTAGCTTATGGACTTCAGTTTACTGATTTGGTAAAAAATCTGATTAATCATTAGTAAGGGGCTCTTGTCCATATAGCCTTTTGGCGCTTACACAACATTCAGCAATTATCAATCACTCAATCAACCAATAAGTGAAAGACATTTGTGCTTTATTATACCCCACGCAACGAGTTGCGGAGGGTATAATGTTTTTGACCCGTCCTTCCGTCTGTCCGTCCGTCCGTCAGTCCGTCCGTCAGTCCGTCAGTACTGTTTCTTGTCATCGCAACTCCTCTCAAACCTCACAACGGAATTTCACGAAACCTTTTTAGATAATAAGGACATACTATGTAGTTGTGCATATCATCAGGAAATTACGATTCAATTTTTTTTCCAGGAGTTACGCCCCTTTGAACTTATTTGCCCAATATACTACTGCAACTTTTTGTCATCGCAACTCCTCTCAAACCACACAACAGAATTTCATGAAACCTTTTCAAATAATAAGGACATACTACGTAGATGTGCATATCGACAGGAAATTAAGATTCAATTTTTTTTTCCAGGAGTTACGCCCCTTTGAACTTATTTGCCCAATATACTACTGCAACCTTTTGTCATCGCAACTCCTCTCAAACCACACAACAGAATTTCATGAAACCTTTTCAGAAAATAAGGACATACTACGTAGATGTGCATATCGACAGGAAATTACGATTCAATTTTTTTTCCAGGAGTTACACCCCTTTGAACTTTTTTGCCCAATATACTACTGCAACCTTTTGTTATCGCAACTCCTCTCAAACCACACAGCAGAATTTCATGAAACCTTTTCAGATAATAAGGACATACTACGTAGATGTGCATATCAACAGGAAATTACGATTCAATTTTTTTTCCAGGAGTTACTCCCCTTTGAACTTATTTGCCCAATATACTACTGCAACCTTTTGTCATCGCAACTCCTCTCAAACCACACAACAGAGTTTCATGAAACCTTTTCAGATAATAAGGACATACTATGTAGATATGCATATTGACAGGAAATTATGATTCAATTTTTTTTTCTGATACAATTTTTTTTCTTACATTTATTTTATTTCTCCAATGACAATGTGGGGACGTGGGGTATGTGAGCGCGCTCACTAATGTTCTTTCATTCTTAAAGAAACCCTTCCAAAAGATTTTGAAAAAATATTAATAATTAAAATAAAGAGTCTGAAAGACATACCAAAGAGGTGTAAAAAATAAGTAATAATAAAAAAAATATAGCTACTTAGCAAAAATTGATTGTGAGATTATTGACTTAATTGCATCAATAGTTTCTGCTCTTTTAATCTGCTGATACTTCACATCAGTACATAAAGACTTTTGCACTACCCTTACGTACTGCAGTAGAAAATAAATTACTTTTGACTTTTACAATTCCTGTTTTATTGTAGTTGAGACATCCAGAACCAAGTTAGATAATAACAATGAGAATGAGAATCCTCAACCAGTTCGAAAAGTCATCAAACCTGATTTCAATCTGCTGCTCGATAGCTTTGAGGTTTGTGTTAGTTCTACTCTAATTGTATTTTTACTTTGCAATAAGTTGTGTAATTACTGAATAAAGGTTGCAATAGAAAGTTATAGTTTATATTCGGTTATGACTCTCTAAATCCTTGTACAGTTTCTCAGACAACAGTGCAATGATTTGGATTTGAATGATCAAGGGTCAGCCAGTTTGATTATTTTTATACGACCGCAAAAAAATTTTGTGGTCGTATATTGGTATGAGGTTGGCATCGTCGTCGTCGTCCGGCGTCCATAGACACATTGGTTTTCGCACTCTAACTTTAGTTTAAGTGAATGGATCTCTATGAAATTTTACCATAAGGTTCAATACCACAAAAGGAAGATTGGGATTGATTTTGGGGGTTATGGTACCAACAGTTAAGGAATGAGGGGCCAAAAAAGGGCCAAAAATAAGCATTTTTGTAACTTCCGGACATAACTTGTGTGTTAGTGTATGGATCTCTCTGACATTGTACCACAAGGTTCCATATCACAAAGGAAATGCTGGGATTGATTTTGGGGGTAATTGCCTCAAAATTTTAGGAATTAGGGGCCAAAAAAGGGGCAAAAACAAGCATTTTTCTAGTTTCATGACGATAACTTGTGTGTAAGTGTATGGATCTTTATGAAATTGTACTACAAGGTTCCATATCACAAAGGGAAAGCTGGAATTGAGTTTGGGGGTAATTGCCCAAAACGTTTAGGAATAAGGGGCCAAAAATAAGCATTTTTCTAGTTTCCAGACCATAACTTGTGTTCAAGTTGATATGGTTTGAATAGGTAAATTCAAATTTTTTAAGTTCTTAGACCACATTCATTCTGTGTCAGAAACCTATGCTGTGTCAAATATTTAATCACAATCCAAATTTAGTGCTGTATCAAGCTTGAATGTTGTGTCCATACTTGCCCCAACTGTTCAGGGTTCGACCTTTGCGGTCGTATCAAGCTGCGCCCAGCGGAGCATTTTATTGTATATTATAAAAGTTTGAGTACAAAGTCAACATAAAATAAATCCAAATGTTCTGACAACTTTTTCTTTTTTCAGATCTAATGAAATTTTTGAATTGCATGATCTAAAATCATCTAAAATATCATAAAGTGTGCAGAAATGTCAGTTATGATGAAACGTTTAAATCATATCTTAATTGACACATCTCATTGAGGGGAATGACAATCTTTTGGGATGTGGAATATAGGGGTAAAAAAAAAGGATGTGTGATATAGGGGGTTAAAAAGTGAGGATGTGGGATAAAGGGGGTAAAATAAGCAGGATTTGGAAAAAAGAGCACCCTGTGTTACCCCTCTTCATTTGAATGGTAATTTGTATTCAAAATGTTCTTTTGGGTAAGGCTTTGTTCATATCTACATATTCTAGAGAAATTCTGAAAACAAGGAAATTTTAGGACAAATTGCTGTTTTTTGTAATGCATTGAGTAAAAATAGATAGCCAAAAGCCAAAATTAAAGAGGAAAGATTAATAAGATTTTAAATATTTGTTGACCTGGAAGGCTGAAGTATCGGGGTAATCAAAGGGTCATAAGTGACAGGTTTAAAATACTTTAGAATTTTTTATTTCTAAAAGTCAGGAAAACAAATTTCGGTGTTCTTATTATATTTTCTATTTTGTTCATATATGTTCTTTTCAGACCAAACTTAAAATCAAAAGTGATTGCAATTATTAGGGAAGGAATGCCATTTATTGTCAAACGTCTATTTTTCACTACTGTTACCATCAAATGAGCCTTAATTTTTAATCGCCATTTGTCAAATCTCATTTTGTAGCTATCATTAGCATCAAATGGAGTAAAATGTTTATCGGTAAAGTTATTTTAACAAATTTATTACCATTATGCGTCATGTTGGGTACCCCATTATTACCCTCAATTATAGTAACATTTGAGATTTTCAGATGTACAATGACTCAATATAAATTTACAATGTTTCTCCAACAGGATGATGAGGATGATGATAGTGGCACATTGAGTCCTAGATCTAGAAGATCAAGTGTTGCCACACCTTCTCCTGAACAAGAAGTTCCTCAGTGGAGGAGAACTGGTAATCTATTTCTGTAAAATTGCATCATAGATTAATGTGAAAATGTCAATTACACATAATATGTTGTGTTATTTTAAGGCCTGGTTTTAACTTCTGATATTTTTTTTATATTTTGGGTAAAGTTTACTGAAACACCAACCTTTTAAAATTCAAAATTTGATATTAAGCTATTAAATCAAAAATGCTTCAAAAGCAGGAATATTAAAGGGGCAATTAAAAATGATAAGTTAAAGAAAAAAAGACTGACAGCAATAGAAAAAATCAAAAAGACAAAACAACAGTCCACAACACACTGCACAGAAAACTTAAGATTCATTTACACAAACCCACCAACGTGTTGCTCCGGAAAGTTAATCAGTTTCAGCTCCTCTTGTGGCTTGGTTGCCATGGTGCTGCTCATGCCAAGTACAAATTTTGTGATAATTTGCAATTGGCAATGTCACAATCAAGGAAATATAGAACTGTGGTTATTATAAGTGGAACTCAACTGGGGTCGTCTTTGACTAAAAAATTTCATAACTTTGAATTATAGGTCAAGATGGAGTCAGAAATACTATCAAAAGGATTCAAATTTATCACGAGGAACCCTTGGTTCATTAGCATCCTTATAATGCTTGTTTTAGATATTCTTCCAAATGTACAATTATGGCTTTCATATCACTGTAGCATGATGTCATTGTACTGTTTTATTTAGCATTATGTGTAAGATATACTGAATTTTTAATTCACATTAGAGCTTACGTAAATACAGTGATTTTGATAGAGCTTACGTAAATACAGTGATTTTGATAGCGCTTACGTAAATACAGTGATTTTGATTGTTATTTACTTTCAGTTGTAAGAGATGTAGTAACACAGGAAAGACACAACATACTGAAAAGACGAAATACAATAACAGTATGTGAATCTCCCCAGGTATCTCCTACTTCTCCTGTCGAGAATGAGGCTTCTTTAAAGCATCGTGAGCATGAATCAAAAATTAAACGGAGTGGCCCTGTGTCTAAATCTAATGCATGTCCAAGTGATTTACGCAAACGTTTGAATGACAAATTGCATGGGTGTTCTAGTGTTTCTCGGTTACATACTCGTCGCATGCATGGTTCAATATCTGAAGTTCCGTCCGAATCTGATAACAGTGAATCTATTATTGATGAACAAAAGACAGTGAAAAGTGAATCTCAAACAATGGTTAGAAGAGCATCATCATCTCTTAGTAGGATGTCCTCTTCTACACTGAACAAAGTTAATTCTGTTGACAATTCTAGAGTCAGACGATCAAGTAATAGAACAATGAACACAAATGATTCTGATGCTGCAACACAAAATGGTAGAAGCTTAATCAGAGTTCAAAGAAAACTTTCAAACAGTGATGAAAATTCATCCGTACAAACTAATGAGAGTAAAGTAAGAGTGCGGAGAAAAATATCAGACTCTGGTCAAGATTCAGTTCAGGTCGTGAAAAACGTGAGCGTTCATAGAAAACTGTCAAGCAGTTCTGAAATTTCTCCTTTGCAAGCTGCTGAACAAAATAAAAGAGCACAAAAACTTTTGGACAGTGATGAAAATTCAAAGCAAAGGACTGAAAATATTGTTGCAAAGAAAACCCAATTACCAGACAGTAGTGAGAAAAACAAAATTATACAAAGAGCAACTTCTTACAGAATCAGACAACCAGTTTCTCATGAGCTGTCTGAAGATCACGATAACAATAAATCGTTGGAAAATAAGTCTCAACGACCTCATTCACCAAAAATAATTATTCCGAAACGATCTTCATCACCCATATCTCACTCATCACCATTATCACCAACTTCACCGACAAAAACGCATGTTTCAACGTGTTTTGCTGGGCTAACTGAAATATCGTCTTCCCCTATTAAAATGCATGTTTCTCCAAGTTCTAAAAAGGAGCATGAAAACGCATGTATGAATGACTCTGAAGAAACTGAAATTTCATTAGGAAGATCACTTCCCAGTCGTAGAATTCTAGTATCAAGAAGGAGTTCTATGCCTGTCAGTAAATCTTGTAATGATCTTGATGCAGAATCTCCGCAGCCTGAAAATTTACACAGAACACAAAGTGTGCTGGAAATTGAACCTGAAAAACCAAGACCAAAACCTAGACCAAGACTTTCTATTAAGAGGAATAGTCTTTCTCCAGGAGATACACAAACTGACATTTCTCCTTCAGTGCCAAAAACTGAATCTCCAGCAGAAATAACACCAAAGGAGGAATCTGCTGTTAATCCACCAAAACCAGTGCCAAGACCCAGAACAAAACTAGTGCAAAGATCACAGAGTCAGAGAACTTCTGTCAGACATTCTTTAGACTTGACACAATTACGTGCAATAAATTCGCCTGACAACTCCATTTTAGAAAATGGAACAGACCAGGAAGAAATTGTAAATAAACCATCTTCTCCACGGAGAAGTTACAGGTCAGAAACACCAGATCCATCAATGTTGGGAGGTGAATCCTCTCCAAGGTTATCTGAATTAAATGTAAATGAACTGTTAAATGTAAGTGCTCCGAGTGTTCAGGAGAGAGATACTAACAACAGTAGTTGTGCACCTCCTTGCCAAGACTCTAGCTCTGAATCTGTGAGTACCTAACCTATCTGTAACCTTCTAACAAAGACATAACCAGTATCCTTCCACTTTGTCTACTTTACACAGACTTTCTCTGTCTGCAGGTCACATTTTTATTTTTTTTAAAACAGAAATTCTTCTTTAACAAATAAAATCTCAGCTGGATTATTCATCATTCATTCTTTACACTTCAGATTTAACAATATTCATCTGCTTCACATTTTAATATCTGTATTTTTAGAAAAATATATTTTGCTTGAGTAGTATTTCAGGATAATCAAATAGTATTTGCTGTTTTATTTTAATTCAAAATATTTATTTGAAAAATTAATTGAAATAATAATAACAAAAATTCTAATAGCCTAATTAAGATATTGGTTATGTCTTTGAAACTGGTTGTCTCAAATCAAGTTTAAATAATTGGCGGCAATGTGTATTTATAAAGCTGTATGAGACAATTGGTTAGAGTAAGATGAACTTTAGCAGCTAAGGTTACTAAGTTGTTGTTTTCTTTTGTAAAATGATTTTCGGAAATTAATACATCTTGGTTATTGACAATATACCAAAGGGTTCTGATAAATATTTGGTAATTTTAGCTGCAGGCTTATTTAGTTTAGATTTTTTCTGTGTGAAATAATTTCAATGCATAGATGGAATTGTTTTATGAAATTGATGATATTAACACTTTTGTTTTTTTCTGAAAATTTGATGATCAATTCCATCAGCATGCTATTAGTTTTGATTTACAGACTCTGAAACAACAGCCATGTACACAATACTACACAAAACAAATGTTTATTGTGTTTGTTTATATAATAGTCAAAAACTGTTGTGAATATATAAACACATTTTTTTCATTTCTTTTTCCTTTTTTTCACATTAGTAGTATAGTTTCACAAATTTTTTAGTCCTACGATTTAAGAATGCATAAACATAAGTACAGAATTTTTTTGTGATTCCAATAACATTTTGTATGTTACTTCCCTTTATTAGAGAGATCATATGGGTTATTGTTACATTTTGGTGTGAGAAATCTGTTTTAAACATTGAAATAAGATAATTTATTTAAAATCATTTGAAAGTATTTTAAAAGATGAAATGATAAGCTGAAATAATCAGCTGATTGGAAAAATTGTTTGAACAAAGGGAAGTAATCTAACAAATGTGACTAGGATCAGCAGATCCTTCTTTAAATTCTGGAATATCTTATCCAAAACCACATATACCTTAGAATCTTTAATATTAGCTAGTTCATAACGAAATACAGTTTACAGCTGTCATAGAATTTACCTGCATATATTTCAGTATTACTGTTTGAATGCTACAGGATACCAAATATTTTGCATGGTTTATTTGCTTGTTGAATGTCAGTAAATTATATATTTACTTTTTTTTCATATTTCTTTTTGTTTTTCTGGAGCAAATTGAAATCAGTTTGTATAACTGCATGATAAATACCGGTAGTCAAATATTGATAGCCCTGCTAGTGATATACGAGATACATAATGTTCAATATGTCAGTCATTTATGAAAAGAGATCTATTGGGCAGAAAGGTTTCAGGGCACCTTTTTCCGCCTACAATGCTTAGTTTCATTTTATAGTATTGGTACTATACAGTCATATTGATTTTCAGATAATCAGATGAGGTTTTAATTGAAGTTACAAGAGAAAATTGGTGTGGTTTTATGGTATCATGGTTTCAACATCATTTCTTTAAAACATTAAGAAAACGGTTAAGGAAAAAAATTTGAATATTAACATATTTTAAATAAAATTGTAATTTTCCTTTTGAAGAAGTGGCAGCATCCTATAGAATGCCTGTCATTAACTTTGGAAGAAGTGATGCATATCAGAACAGTGCTAACAAAGGCAGAGCTGGAATCATTGATTAACCAACCAGAGTTCTATAGTATGGTGTCTAAAGGAAAGGTACGTTAACTGTAATTAGTCCTTATGTTTTATTATACTTCATGTCAAAATGCCAGCTTTGATTGGTTTATACGAGGGATACAATATTTACTTTATCCTATGGCAAATACTCTATTACCCTTCAGGGAGACGCTTGCTCAAGTGTGCGCTTTAATAAATACGGATGATTATTTATAAGACGACATAGTTTATAACTTTGCATTTGAAAGTTAAAGACAGAACATTCAGTATAATAAATGTTGTCAAAAGGTATTTAATATATATATATACAGTACTTTATAACAATAACACTAGAACTAATGTGGGACAACAAGGTCTTATAACAATAAAACTGTAGCATTATGGGACAAAATGTTCTGAACAGTTTGTCTACATAATCTCAAGTATGGTAGGAAATTTGAAACATATTCCCATCATTGCAAAATGTGTTCTAATAGTAAAAAATCTACTCGGACTGTTACTTGCCAAGTTAGTGCTATGGTTTGCACAAGCAGTAAAATTTAATGCCTTGAAGTTGTGTGAATGTAAAGAAAGGGACCAAACATGCCAACCACACAAAAATAATAACTTGAATGTAAACATCCAATATTTATAACTATGGAATTCACTAAGGACTAGCATGAAAGTAAAAATAGAAACACAAAAACTCTTTAATAAAACAATAAAAATTCTTAAATCATGGGGACACTATTTACACTAATGTTGCAGTTATTACAACAATGGAAATCTGTTCACACTATATTGATCTACTTAGCGGGTTGCTGATGTCAGAAAAAGTTTCCAAAAAGAAGAAAAATAATGAATGAAAAAAAGATACAGTACATAAAAAAGCATATGATTTTGTTTATAAGAAAATTAGTATTTTTACTTTCAGAAGACATCAAATGTTACTTCTCGCATTTTTGAAGAAAAAAAAAATGTTGCAAAATATGTAAATTTTAATATTTTCACTGCCTAAACAAATGAGATGTATTCAGCTTTCACTAGTTCACTTTGGCGGAAATGATAAAATATGTTTTGTTCCAAATTCATGAAAATATGGCATGCATATCTGAAAATGTATCAGCAATTTTGTAAACAACATTGAGGACATTCTGATCTTACTCTATAAATATTGTGTATTTTTCAGGTGTGTTTTACCTGTAAGGAAGTGAAGTTCTCCATTTTAGGTCAGTGGGGAAACAGGTGTAAAATCTGCAAAAGAAACGTTTGTAACACCTGTCTCCGCAAGGTAAGGGAACATCAATCAGTTGGATTTCTTTTATTAGTTATTATGTAAGGATTAAAATGCTTTTTGGTATTTATATATATGTTAGTGCAAAGTTTTCATGAAAAAAACGTCATAACATAAAACCTGAGATGCAATCTAACATATGAATGCACCTCAGGAAACTGTCATTTTTGCCATTTGATAAGGGACTTTCCGATTTGAATTTTCCTTGGAGTTTGGTATTTTTGTTATTTTATTTTTTGACACAGCTATTTTGAATATTCAGTTTTTAATGCTCTCCAACTTTGTATTTGATTTTGGTCTTCAACATTTTTGATTCAAGCGTCACTGATGAGTCTTATGTAGACGAAACGCGCTTCTGGCGTAGGCAATTAATGCCTGGTATTTTTGATGAGATTTAATGCACAAGTTTTACCAAATATTTAACCTTTTTATGGTCTTTTTATTTGATATACTAAATTCATTAATTGAATAATTGTAAACTACCACAATATTGTTCATTAGTAATTATTATATTCATACATTTAAAAAAGTGAAAATAAAAATAGACAGAAAACTAGTAATATAAAAAAAGGTGCAAGTGGAAAGGCATAGTCTTGATGCCATATCAGATAGTATGGCATGCAATACGTTCTGAATTCTGAACATAAACTTATTTAAAAAAAAAATTGCTATAAATCATGTTCTGAAAGTGATCTTGTTATAGATGTTCCATTCACTATTTGTTTTTTTTTTCTTTTTCAGATGAACATTCCCACAGAACATTTCCAAAATATACCTGTACATACACTTAGTCCTATACCCCTTGGTCAAGAAGCTTTAGATATACTCAAAGTCTATGAGAGGTAAGACTATTTTCAAATGAGGCTCTTCTTTCTCTTTGTAAACAAAGCCATGTTCTAAAATGGAAAGTTTTGTAGGAGTTGCTTGCTATGAAATTCAATGAAATCTTTTAAAAAGTAGGTATTTAAGTCTTTATGTATCTGAACACTTGGACTTTTAACAATTTTGCTTAATCAAATAGAAATGGCTGCCTTTTGAACACGTCTTATAGATCAGCTACACAGAGAAAAATAATCAGAATTTTCCTAAATATTCTACAATACTACATACATATATTGTTCATGACACAGACTAGATAAACAAACTGAAAGTAACTTATTGTTCAAATATAATAATACAGGCAATACCATGTTTAACAAACAGATCAATTTGGATAAAGCAAAACTTATTACATCTAATCCACCATCCATGTTTGCACTTTTTTTATTAGGTGAATAAACAATCATTTTCTGTGTAAAGTTTGATTTCACCTTAGAAACTTGTTCAATCTTACGATTTGAATGATTGGCTAAAAATCAGGAAACAAACTATCAACAGGCCATAATCTTGCTGGTGAAATGACGTTTTAAGTGGCCAAAGAATTTTGGAAATCACTAGAACTCGCCAGCTGACTGACTTCTTAGCGAAGTCAAGTCGATATCAAAATCAGTATAAGGGAGACAACTTATGATTTACAAGTCGCACAGGTAAACAAAAATGGTGCCCAAGGAAAATTGAGATTTTCAAAACGACAAAAGACTAATACTGCTGACGATTAAATGAAATGAATACAACGGTGACTTAAAACATCCTCAGAATTAACATTCAAAACTATTAAAACAGGAAACTGGGCGACTGTTGGAGTTATCATTTACTATGATTTTCGTTATGAGGATGTTGCGTAATCACTCAGTTGATTTGTTTTCAATATTTCTATTTTAATACCAGTTGAACTACTCGGTAGGTTAATGGGTGGGAATTAACAGGTGATTTTTTGCTATTCATTGATACAAATTGAAATGTATAAATAAAAAAAAAAAAACAGCTGATGGATAATTTGATTGGAAACCTACGACGTGTGGTCAGCTTGTGATAAGTGGGGTGTTTTTTTTTTTCACGACCAACTCGTTAATACATGATGTCCTGGACATTCAATAATGATATACTGGCAACACAGTTTATTGAAATTTAATTCAAGTTGACATTACAAATGATATGACTAAATAAATAACAACTATATTGTCTAATCTTTTCTACTGGTATTAAGAATTTTCAATATATAAACAATATCAAATTAAAAACGTTGCAAGTATATATTTGAATGCATATATAAAACAATTTCCTTAATGATAAGCAAGAAAACACTACGCAACCATAAAGGTGATGGAATTTCACTTCTCAAAGAAGTTAACAACTTCTCCCTACTCTGTCATGTCTTTCTCTCCAAAATCCTAGATTAGGGCCTAGGTATTTTTAAGAATGGTGTAGAATATTGTATTATTTAACTACTTTTTTATCTTTGCAGTACTGGATCAGTTCCTCATTCTCCACTAACACAGAAAAAACTTTTACGTGAGATAGAAAACAAATCCCCAAAGAAATCTTTACAGAGGTCTCAGACGTTTAATTCTTCTCCTAACTTAGCAAGTCCATTACCGAACAAAAATTTACTTAAAGGACCTCAAATGAATGTGTGTTGTGAATGTAAAAAGATGATTATGGATATTATACGAACAAGTCGGACTTCTATAGCTCTGATAAATAAAAGAAAAACACTTCAATCAACTACAACTAGCAACGAAGAAAAGAGACCATCTTCTTTATCAGCATCCTCACTGTCTCTTAGTGTCAAAAATTTCTTCACACAGAAATAAAATTTATACAAAGTACATGTGTACAAGTGTGTTATATATTTGTTATATAAATTTCAAAATTACTACTTAAAAGGTTTCAATCAAATGCTTCTGTTCAAGATCAAAGCATTCATATTATATGCTTAAAATATTTTCGTTTTAATTTAAAAATAAGTTACATTTATGAATCTTGTTAAAAGTTATTTACTTAGAATCTCAGTATTTGAAGTTATCTGTTTTGTGGCAGAATTATAAATCTCGGATTATCTATAAAACCTTTTTTTTAAAGAATTCCTTTCACTAAAGATCTTGCATTCAAACTTTATATTAATTTCTTTACAAATAATTTAGAACTTGTACCTGTCTTTCATTGGCCATTTGATGAGTATCTATTTTGTTACATCTAGCAAACAAATAATGTACAACAAATTAATATTTATAGCATTTGACCATGCTGTCAAATCCTACAATGTGAAAAAATCAAAGTAATGTGTCTCATAGATATCAACCAAATTAGTTTAATCAGTATTATACACTTGTTGTATCTTTATACTATAATTTATATCTTACTATTAAATATTCAGGATTAATGCCACCAGTTTGTGTCCAGTATTGATCTGTTATGATGAATATTGAACCATTTCAATACCTCATTCTGAAATCTTTTTTTTTTCTTTGTTCGACATTTATTGCAAATGTTATCAACTAACCAGATCTAACTCAAAATTGTTTGTACGAGCAATAGTTTTTACATTTATATTGTCATGGGATATTAATTTTGTAAGAAAATCACGTCATTGTCCTGAAACCACATACTTCATATAAAAGTCCATGTACTTATATGGTGACACATTAAAGTACTTTTTTAAAACTTCTCCTTTATTGCAATTGTTATTCATTATCCCTTTAAAAAATCATAAATCCACGGAGGAGTAACATACTTCTTATGCTATTTGAGTATTGGAGCTGACCGTGAGTTTCAAAATGCAATTTCATAGGCACTACTGACAAATTGTTCAGTATATTTAGTACAGTGTTGTATATATATATATATATGTATGTTAAAAAGGCCATAATGTATATTAGTTCATTGCACTGTAAAATTATCATTCAAATCATGGTCATAAATTTTATTTGCAAAGACTATTTATTTATATATGGTTGATCATTGCATATAGTTGTGTTTTAACAATGTAAAAAGTGATGCTCCATTACAATATTTTTAGAAGTAAATATTTAGGATCTTTTAATTTATTATTTGAATATAAAATAGAATAATTTTGTGACAATATTGAAAGAATTTGAACTAAAAGATCATATATATTCTAAATCTGAATTTAAACATTTTTGTAAAGAGATTGACATTTTTTTATTCTAATAATGTCAAAATGTCTGACATTGAATCCTTATTTTATTTTGCCATTATATGGATCCCCTGTTTCATTTAATATCAATTACTAAATCCTACTATGAGGGAATGTTTTTGATTGGTTCATTTTACAATCACATGACATTGACAATTGAAAGATTTCCTTTGACATCCTCACAAAATACCTGCAGAGGGTTACAATAGTATTATTACCCTAATGACAACCCAAATTTCCTCCACAGGGTGATAATCAGAAGTAATAGTTTAGTTTAAACCTTACCAGTAAACTCATTTTACAGTTAGACACATACATGTACTCCTCACCAATTAGGATGCTGAAATAAGTTAAACCTTAAAGACGCTCATGCATAGTGGTAGTCTAGGAACCATGTCTTCATCAATGTCCTGCTTGGTTACTATCTCATTCAAGTCAATTTAATACAGAGATATAATTATTATGGAGGCAGGCAATTCAATACAAAGAGGGTGGTAAAGGGTTATTTTCGTGCAACGGGATCGCCGTTTTTTACTTCACGTTCAACGTGTTTTTACTTTTTTATTTGACGTTCAGTCATGCAAGACAGGTGCCTCGTTCAACGTGTTCTGCTTATTTAATTTTACGTGCATCGTGATTTTCAAATGCTTATTTTGCGTGCTCGGTATTTTTCAAATAAAATTTAAACACTTGGCAGGGATCGTCAAGAAAAAAATGGATTCAATTTTGTTTTTTGATAAAGCGGAATGGCCTTTGATGTTGTTCCTTATCGATTTTGGAGCTTCCAAGATATATGTACTGGTTTGGCCTAACACATTGCTCATTAAGTATTAAGTAACTACATCACACTGACATTTTATTGTCTCAACAAATTTGTAATGGGCCATACATATTTATTTTTGTCGTATTCTTTCGATTTGATTCAGTTTGCGATAAGTTCAAAATCGTTGTACCATATGCTACTATAGTAATCTGGTATGAATATGTTGATTGATTGCTGTATTGCCATATATGTCTCTAGTTCATGATTGTAATGTTAGAAAACATTAAAAAAAATAAAAGGACTAATGAGACCTGCATGGTATGAATTACTAGGGAAAGCTGTAGGATTAGGGATATATTACAATCAACTTGTGCTTCTGTTCGTCAATCCAACAAATATTTCCGTTACATTTTTCTAAGAAACAACTTTACATAATGACTTCATATTAAGTTCAAATCTCAGTGATATGATTTTAACTTGTGAACACTTTTCGGATCTCCTAGATACATGCTTCCTCATTGCCGATTCTTTGAATTTTTTTATTAAAATGAAAAGAATGACTTAAAATAGGATCGACATCTGAACAGTGATGAGCTTCAACGTGTTTCCATTTTCCATCATCTGTCAGTTCAAACTTCCTATTTCTGATACTTTTAACCACGAGTCGTGGTAGCTGGTGGCATGGGTAACATGACAACGTGTTTATTCTTGTTAATAAAGACAATGAAATAGATCAAGAATACACTTTCATGTCTGTGGGAAATTTGCATTTTAAAAGTTAAGAAGATCGTTATATACTTTTTTAAAAGCCGTAAACCATTTATATTATAAATGTGTATACTCAATCGGGAATATCAAGTAAAACAGAGAGTTTATATATACAAGAAGACAGTGACTCAGTCACAAAAGGATCACATCAAAGTCTTTATTTTTCGTGCAACGTTCATGACAGAAATTATTTCACGTTCAACGTGAAATTATGTCTTATTTCACGTTTTTTCCGTGCAAGCACTCCCCCTTTACCACCCTCTACAAACTAATAGGCAATTTTGCAGATTTTACCAACTTGAATGTATTATTTCTTTCCAATTGAAAATATTTCAAATTTTAATACAAACAGAAATTTATTCCTCTCCAAATAAAGTTATCCAATAGACTATATCCTTATTTGGAAATCTGTGACACTACAACTGTGATTTTGTGACACTTGAAATATTGATGTCATAAAACAATCACTTTACTTTTGTGGCATCAGACATTTTCTATTGTGTGGTCAAAATTTTACAAACCTTTGTAATCTCCAGTAATGGCAGACAAATAGGGATAAGGTGTATTTATAGAAATAACCAGGATCATATTCAATGACTTTAAATATTGTCACAAGATAACTTTTAACATTACATTTTGTCCAGCAATAAACTTAGTTTTAACATTAGAAGCATAATGTGATATTGTAACCATCCATCTGGTTGTGAACTTTGTTCTTTTATAAACACAGTAAACGTAGAATTAGTTATAAAAAACTTTAAGGTGGAAAAACCAAAATAAGCGGTGCAAGTCAATTTAATTTTCAGAAATTTAAAGATATTTTGGATTTTTTATATTATATTAAAAATTACTATTCTTATTGGTGCTTTTAATTTGAAAATTGCATGCAGTGCTAAGTCTGCAATGACATACTTGAAAAAAAAGCCCTGTGTAATTGTTCGGGAAAATTATTGATTTGTATCATGTGATGTTAATATACTATCTGTTAGATACTGCTGTCATTGTATGGTGCATTGTTACACACTTCAGGATACATTTACCAGAGGTTTGTGTATTGTTACACACTTTATGGTACATTTACCTGGAGTAGGCGTAAAAAAAATTAATGCTAAGTGCATTGTTAGTTCTTAATATTAGTTCCAGAACAAGAGGGATAAAAAAAATGGCTTTATAACCAGTTTTCAACAATTTCGTTTATCAATTTCAATTATTTTTCTTATTTTCTTTTGTTTTAAATATCCATATAAATGAGTTACTGCTTAATACTGAAAATCTGTATTCTTTTTTTTTAATGCTGCTTTATTTACATAAAAAAATTCAAAAATAGTTTGTAAAATAAAATTCTTTTTTTTATAAAAATAAAATTTTTGTTTACCATATAAATTTCAAACAAATCATTTATATTTACTAAATGAATCAAGTAGACTTAAAAAGTAATGACAGCTTTTAAATTTGAATTACACTTCTGGATAGATACTGCCTAAAATCAGACAGATATATTGAGATATGTGTTATAAAGTTTATGCTGAATTTCAGTAAAATTGATAAATTTATTCCATTTTTTAAATGGAAAAATTGTGTTATTACTGTGATAATCAGAATTGTTATATAAGGCAAGCTTTGATATATTATGTGGTTTACTTCATCAAGTTGACCTTTATCCAATTTAACTGGAATGAAATAATAAAATAATAAGTATGAACCTGTATTGTTGTTGATTTACCATATCATGCCCCTAATCTTTGGTAAATCATTGAACTTAGGTTTATTTTGATCAACATCGTCTTGTAGATGAAGACTTTACATAAATGTGCTAAAAACGTCCTCTGTCTTAAGGTTAATTTAAAGTCATGATCAAGGTCGCATAATTTTAGGTCTTCTGTCTTGAAAAAGATTTGCTACTAGATTTTAAGCAAACTGTCATTGAATTGCAGTTTTGGGCCATCTATTGTCTTTTTGCTTTTTTTAGCGAGTAATCAATTTCGACATCTGCCGTGCAGCAACTTCCTGCTTGCCTATTGTTTGAAATTTTACAGCACTCATTGTCCGAATAAAATTTTCGTCAACCTTTTCTTGGCTTGTACTGAAGAGAATAACTTTATTTTTTGTCTGCAGCTGGATTATGTTCAGTTGTAATGAGTAAGCAATATTTACATCCTTCATGCAGCTCCTGTTTCCTGATATTTTGAAATTTTACACACTCATTGTGCATAGAGAATTTTCGTCATATTTTTTGTCTATAATGAAAGGGAATGATCAGTTATGTTTCAGTAAACATGTTACCTCAATCAATTGCATGCAGCAATGTAGGTCCTGACTATGTATTGGTCTTTTTATTTCACTATTTTTTATGATCTTCTATTTGTATTCAAAACGGTTTTACTGCATTTTAAGGGCTACAGTGTTGCAGTTGACATTTAAATTTCATAAAGCATGTATGATTTTCAGCAGTATTAAGGTTAATGCCCCCAGACCAGGTTCAGAAAACCAGTATGTATGATTTTCAAATTAATATAAAAATAAGAAGATGCAGTATAATTGCCAATGACAACTCTCCACCAGAGACCAAATAACATAGAGGTTAGCAACTATAGGTCACCGTACAGCCGTCATCAATGAAAGTCTGATTATCCAGCCAAAAACCCAAGATGACCACTGTAACTATAAATAGAACATAGTTGTAGTGTGTTTGATGACTAAATAGCAACAAGGCTGCCATCATTACTATGATATGGAAGTTAACAAAAATTTCAGTTGAAAATTCTGAAACTTTTTGTTTGTCAACAAGCAAATGCCACAAAAGATTGAATAAATGAATTATTTATGATTCCCCTGAAGAATGATAGTTAGTGACTTTAATTTTAATAAAACTTGCTACCAATTAAACTAAAATGAATTTTTGTCAAAGAACATCCATAACTAGATTATTTAGTTGAAAAATGGATACTTTTTACCAGGTGAAGGATGTAGACTTGTTTGTGTCTTAAGTTCAAAATATTCTGAGACGAAACCACTAGGTAAGTGAGAACCAACATAAGGTTATCTGTTTTGTTGTGTTTATCTCCAAATTATGTCTCAGATTGACACCATAGCTAAAATGATTGAATTCCTCAAATAACTGGAGAATCCGGTAAAAATAACTGCTGAACATTTGGAGAGACAACACTAATTATACCCTGAAGAATTATGGTTAATACTTACTTTCATTAAACATACCAGAAACGTTTTAAAAATTAACAAGAAAATTCAGATGTATGTAAAAGACCATCAGCTATAAAGATTTGGTTAAATGATACATTACTCTCCAAGAACTATGACTCACGACCCTATCAGTAATCAATCGTGGAACTCGGACATATTTCCTTGTACACATTATTTGAATGATTTTAACCCATACTGCATTTCAAGAGTTACTAGCTCTGAACACAAGGTTGGTGTGACGAGCATCCCATTTGAAGCAGGATATTCCATCACGTTCTCAACATCCCATGCCAAGAGAGGAAGTTGCATTGCCAAAATTTAAGTTGGCTGTTTGCATACATTTGTTTTTATACGACCGCAAAAATTAAAAATTTTTTGGTCGTATATTGGTATCACGTTGTCGTCGTCGTCAGCGTTATACTAAGACAGATGGTTTCTAGATTATAACTTTAGTATAAGTAAACAGAAATCAATAAAATTTTAACACAAGGTTTATAACCACTAAAGGAAGGTTATGATTGATTTTGGGGGTTATGGTCCCAACTGTTTAGGAATTAGGGGCCAAAAAGGGGCCCAAATAAGCAGTTTTGTAGTTTCCAGACAATAACTTGTGTTAAAGTGTATGAATCTCTCTGAAATTATACCACAAGTTTCCATACTACAATGATTAGGATTGACTTTGGGGGTTATGGCTCAAACCAATTAGTAATTAGGGGCAAAAAAAGGGGAAAAACAAGGGTTTTTCTGGTTAAAGGACAATTGAGACAATTTAAAAGCAGTGTAAGGGAGGTAATCCAAATCAATTAAAAGAACACTGTTTGATTACCTCCCTAACACTGCTTGTAAATTATGTATTAAGAAATGATGATTGTCTTGGGGTGATTAGCTGTCAATTTATTTTTAGCAGTTACTATTAATCAATATTAATTTTGGCCATGACTATGTATGTCATTTTATATTTTAAAACTTTTATGATGTATTTAAATTGGGTAATTATGGTTGCAAACTCCATTAGAAATTTGAATTGAGATACTGACCATATCTTGAGGGAAAGATTTTTTTTTGGGAACAAGGGAAAGGGGGAGGTGAAAAAAATTGGAAGGGGGGGACAATTTTTCTCATTTCAGATTTCAGAAATTAAAAGAAAATTTCTTCAAATATTTTTTTTTGGTGGTTGATATTCAACAGCATAGTGTATTGCACAAAAGCAAAAAACCAGGGTAAAAAATTTTTTTTTGGGGGGGGGGGGGGGGGGGGGTCAATTCGCAACATCATAGTGTATTGCACAAAAGCAAAAAATTGAATATAAATTCAAATCATATAACCAATTCTAAGTTCTTTGACTACAGTTATTCTGTGTCAAATATTTAATAACAATCCAAATTCAGACCTGTATCAAGCGCGAACATTGCGTCCATTTTTGCCCCAACTGTTCAGGGTTGGACCTCTGCGGTCGTATCCAGCTGCGCTCGGCGAAGCAATTTATTATAGTTTGTTCTTGTGTTGTAACACCACTGTCCCATGTTATCGGAGATCATTCAATTTGATTTTGACATTTTATCTTTTGCCCCTCGGAAGTTATGGTCCTTGATTGATCGAAAAATGACACCCTATATCACATCAGTATGATAACTTGAGAATTTTTCAAGAACTTCATTTTTATACGACCGCAAAAAATTTTTGCGGTCATATATTGGTATGACGTTGGTGTCATCGTCGTCAGAAGACACATTGGTTTTCGCACTCTAACTTTAGTTTAAGTGAATGGATTTCTTATTTTACCATAAGGTTAAATACCACAAAAGGAAGGTTGGGATTGATTTTGGGGGTTATGGTACCATCAGTTAAGGAATTAGGGGCCTAAAAGGGGCCAAAAATAAGCATTTTCTAGTTTCCAGACAATAACTGTGGAACTGTGTATGGATCTCTCTGAAATTATACTACAAGTTTCCATACCACAAAGGGATGGTTAGGATTTGCTTTGGGGGGTTATGGCTCAAACCGTTTAGGAATTAGGGGCAAAAAAGGGGGAAAAACAAGGTTGTCCTGGTTAATGGACAAATACTTTAGTACAAAACATAATTTAAAGCAGTGTAAGGGAGATAAATCAAATACATCATTGAAATTACCTCCCTTACACTGCTTTTAAAATATGTATAAAGTAATGGTTAATGAACAATTAAGATAATTTAAAACAGTGTAAGGGAGGTAATCCACATACAACGTTTTGGTTACTTCCCTTACACTGCTTTTAAATTATGTATAAAGAAATGCATATTTATAAAGGAAGACCAGTAAAAATATCTGCAAATGTTGCATCTTTTTTTTTTACAAAAAAATCCATATAAAAGATTTGACACTATATTTTAAATTCTATTATAAAATAGATTTAGTTAGCACTATGGTAAATTTAAATGGGTAGTTATGGTTGCAAACTCCATTGGAAATTTGAATTGAGATTATGACCATATCTTGAGGGAAAGAATTTTTTTGGGGAAAAAAAAGGGGGGGGGGGGGGTAAAAAGAAATTGTGGGGGTCAATTTTTTCTCATTTCAGATTTCAGAAATTAAAAAGAATTATTCTTCAAATATTATTTTTTTCAAATTTCAAATATTGAAAAATTTCAAGAAGTAATCTTTAATTGCACAGTATGGCACATTAGATTTGTAAAATCTTTGACCACATTTATTTATTTGTTATGCCGAATCTAACAGTGTAATTAGATTTTTAATTTTGGGTCCAGTTTTCAAATTGGTCTACATTAAGGTCCAAAGGGTCCAAAATTAAACTTTATTTGATTTTAACAAAAATTGAATATTTGGGTTCTTTGATATGCTGAATCTAAACATGTATTTAGATTTTTGATTTTTGGCACAGTTTTCAAGTTGGTCCAAAGTGGGGTCCAAAATTAAACTTTGTTTGATTTCAACAAAAATTGAATATATGGGGTTCTTTGATATGCTGAATCTAAACATGTTTTTAGATTTTAGATTTTTGGCCCAGTTTTCAAGTTGGTCCAAATTGGGGTCCAAAATTAAACTTTGTTTGATTTCAACAAAAATTTAATATATGGGGTTCTTTGATATGCTGAATCTAACCATGTATTTAGATTTTTTATTTGTGGGCCCCGCTATCAAAATGGTTCATATTGAGGTCAAAAGGGTCCAAAATTAAACTTTGTTTGATTTCATCAAAAATTGAATTATTGGGGTTCTTTGATATGCCAAATCTAACCGTGTTTTTTAGATTTTTAATTTTGGGTCCCGTTTTTTAAATTGGTCAACATTAAGGTCCAAGGGTCCAAAATTAAACTTAGTTTGATTTTAACAAAAATTGAATTCTTGTGGTTCTTTGATATGCTGAATCTAAACATGTGTTTAGATTTTTGATTATGGGCCCAGTTTTCAAGTTGGTCCAAGTTGGGGTCCAAAATTAAATTTTTTTTGATTTCAACAAAAATTGAATATGTGGGGTTCTTTGATATGCTGAATCTAACCATG